AAAATGACAAACAAAGTTTTGTGCTATCAAATATTGTGCAGAATACAGAAATCCAAAAAAGAGGGGAAAAAAGGCAAGCTGCTAACTTCTGAAATAAACTAGGATTATGTGAACAAAAACGAAGCCTCATAAGGATTGCATATTCGTTTTATGGCGTAAATTTGAGTTTTAAAAAGCTTTTTTAGTAAGCTTGCTCCAATGGAGAAGCTGAGCTGTCATGTGCAGACGTATGCTTGGGGTAAGAAAGGTCTGGCCAGCGAAGTGGCTCGAGTGTACGCTGCTGGACATCAGGATGCGCACATCGATGACAGCATCTCCTATGCTGAGGTATATTACATTTTCTACCCCAACTGACAGTTTGCTGTACACGTGGTTGACGCTGGGTCGGGAACTGGGAGGAAAGCAAGCATTATCTCTACTTTCAGAGCCATCTGTCGCTTCTGCGAGTGGTAAAAGCCTTTTTCGCATTTTATTCCCTGTTAGAGGCGAAAGTTTATCCGGAAGTGACTAGGTGTGATGGGATTTTACAAACAGCAGTTACTCGATTGTCTCGTGTTTGAAAGGCTGCCTGAAAAGCAAGCTTGTGACCGACTGATCCTCTAGGTGTGCCCAAAACACAAAAGGGAGTCCTGGCGATGTTATTAGTCTTCCAGTGGCTGTCAGTACCAGTGACTCTGTGCACCCATTTAGTATTTTATCAAGGCTCTCAGCGATTTGTTTTTCGTATTGTGAAATGACGGGGAGGTGTTACTGCAAAAAAAGCACTTTTTCAGTCGGTCAGAGTATTTGCAGTCAAAGTACTAGATCCTAAGTTTGCACGGAGCAGCCCTCACTTCAGGATTTCTGATAGAGCTAATTAAGGAAGAAAAAGAACGGTATTCCACCGCATTTCATTTTACAAACGTCTGCAAAATTTGGAAGTTTAATACCTCTCATTACTGTTGAGTGTTTGAAACTTGAAATGTGTATTAAGGGCGGAACATAAAAATATGTACGAACTCGGGCGACACATTCTAATTTCAGCTATGGATGGGA